GTAGACTCAATACATGCTTCCAGTGTAGGGGATTCTGGTTTCAAAGGGTACGTCTACACTGCAATGCTATTTCAAAATAACTAGTGCTATTCCGAAATAACTTAGTCGGCGTCTACACAGCAGGCATTTATTTTGAAATAGTGTCAAAATACTGTCAAGCTGGAGGACTTCTTACTCTAACTCCTGCAACCCTCATTGTACAAGGAATAAGGGAAGTCGGAGGAAGAGTGCTCTATTTCAAAATAAGTGCCATGTAGATGCTCCCTATTTCAAAATAAGCTATTTTGAAATGATACACAATTGACATAGCTCAATTTGCATAGCTTATTTCGAGTTAAGTGTAGACGCACTCTAAGAGGATGCTATCACACACATTCAATACACCACAGCTCATGGAACTATGAGGTTAGCACAGGAACCATGCTTACAATGGAGTGAAGCAAGTTTGAACGCACATTCAGGTGAATTGAATCTTGGTCTTGCTGTAGTGAGGGATTGCACACTGAGTATCAAGCACTTTCACATAGGTTTGCAACTAGGCTATATTAATTTCCAGGGCATGGAGGTGAAAAGGAATCAGGGTGATATTAGCCAAGACTCACAGATGGAGCTGGCCTGAGAGAGAGAGAGAAATCAAGTTAAGAACTATGCATAAGTATGCCATAGCAGGCTGTCTCTCTTTTCATCTGCTTTCCTGGAGAGAATGTCTCAGATACACTGAGGCTGTGTCTACACTGCATGCTTCTTGTGCAAGAACGGCCATTCTTGCGCAAAAACTTGCTAGCTGTCTACACTGCATGCGCTTTCTTGTGCAAGTAAATTTACAGTATAGCGTTAGAAAACAAGGCTACTTCTGGAAGAGTTATTCTTCTCCAAAGAATAAGCCCTCTTGAGCAAGAGCTCTTCCACAAGAGGGCAGTGTAGACAGGCAACATGAATTTCTTGAGCAAGAAGCCCTTATGGTTAAAATGGCCATCAGAGATTTCTTGTGCAAGAGAGCGTCCACACTACCATGCATGCTCTTGCGCAAAAGCACATCACTTGTGCAAAAGCATATGGCAGTGTGGATGCGCTCTCGTGGAAGAACTCTTCCACAAAACAATTCTTGCACAAGAAGCGTGCAGTATAGACACAACCTGACTGTACAAAGGTGTGGGGTAGATACCTAGTGCTGCTTTTTCACATCTGCTGGGGAAGGCCAGAGTGGGGTGAAACAAAAATTGTTTGAAAGACTCCTAGGTTGTGGGCTTGCCCTCTCACCACCTGGTCAGTACACACAGCAGGAAATAAGCTGCACCTTAAGAGGCAAATTATTCCATCTACAGTGCAGCCAGGCAGGTCCAGGAAGCATTGTGTCCCTTTGACCATAATGCCTCTCTATGATTCTCCTGGGTGATGTGGATCTGAAACATCCACAATGCAGGGCTATGCCATGTAGCCGTTAGTAACTCCATTAGAGGAGTGAGGTTCTGGAACGTCCTTCCAAGGGAAGTAGTGGGGGCAAAAGATCTATCTGGTTTCAAGATTAAACTAGATGGGTTTATGAAGGGGATGGTTTGATGAGATAACATGATCTTGGTAACTAATTGACCATTCATTTCCAGTTGGAAATAGGTCAATGGAGGGATGATAGGAGTTACTATAGAGAACTTTCTGGGTGTCTGGCTGATGAGTCTTGCCCACATGCTCAGGGTTTAGCTGATCGCCATATTTGGGGTCGGGAAGGAATTTTCCTCCAGGGTAGATTGGCAGAGGCCCTGGAGGTTTTTCGCCTTCCTCTGTAGCATGGGGTACAGATCACAGCTGGAGGATTCTCTGCATCTTGGGGTCTTCAAAGTATTTGAAGGCTTCAATATCTGAGATATAGGTGAGAGGATTATTCTAGGAGGGATGGGTGAGATTTTGTGGCCTGCACTGTGCAGGGGGTCAGACTAGATGATCATAATGGTCCCTTCTGACCTTAAAGTCTATGAGTCTATTTTGAAATAAGATACGCAATTTATGTAGCTCAATTTGGGTAGCTTATTTCAAGTTAAGTCCTGCAGTGTAGACGCACCCTCAGTGATGATAGGCATATTCAGCACAATTGTTAACATATGCTGTGAAGAATTCTCATACACTGACTCTAATGAAGCCTGCACATGAAATTCAGGATTATAAACATTTCTAAAAATTTAGTCAACATTTCCTGAATCTTACACTAGTAAAATATGCTCTGTAGCTCTAATGAGGCCAGATTGTACCACTTTGCTCCTGCTGATTTTGATGGGAGTACTGCCAGAATAAGTTACATTATAACATGAGTGGAAGAATCTGGCTCAAAATTATTAAACTAAGTTTAGCTTACAGTCTTATCACTTTACAAACATTCTGAATCATGCTGGAGACTGGTTCTCTCAGATGACCAACATTTCTTCAAGTAAGTGCCACAGTTCAAACATGAACAAGCCGAAATTGTTCGCTTTATGCCATACAAATGCCTTAGTACCTGTCAGTGCTGAAATACTATGAGATTATTTAATATAAACGTCATCCTATGATCAGTGTTATGCTTTGATCATTAGGAAAAAAATAAATGCAATAAAACTAGAAGACATTTTCTTCCATTTTGCTGTATTGAAAATGTGCAGCCATGATAAACTGAAAACATTAGAAAGCAATAAGGAAATTTAATAACATTTAATAATGATGCTAATAAATTTGGGCTGGATTCTGTCACCCTCATTCAAATGAGTAACTTCTTATGTGGTGAAAAGTCTCATTGATTTCAATGGGACTTATTGCAGAGAAAGACACTATTCAGGATAAATTCCCCTTGACATTTCCTGGAACTCTGAACTGAACCTCTAGGCAACCTACCCTATGGCCAACCCCAAAACAGCTACTAACACCAGGGCACTGGAACATTATTTTTTTATAGTGGGGGTGCTGAGAGCTGTTGAACCCTATATATCAAGGAAATCACTTCAAGCCAGGGGGCGCTTCAGCAACACCTCCCCTTCACACACATATCCCTAGTTCCACCAACTATGACCAGAACTCTCTAATATCCAAGAATTCTTAGAGCACATCTACACAGCAGTGTTATTTCGGAATAACTGATTTCAAAATAACATAGTCCACATCTACACTACAAGCAGTTATTTCAACAGAATGTCAAAATAATGGAAAGCTGGAGGACTTCTTACTCCAACTCCTGTAACCCTCATTGTACGAGAAGTAAGGGAAGTCGGAGGAAGAGTGCTCTACCTCGGACTTTCTGCTGTGTAGACAGTACCAAAAGCCAAAACAAGCTATTTCGACTTAAGCTACACAATTGACATAGATGAAATTGTGCAGCTTATTTCAGCTTTAGCCCTGTTGTGTAGATATGCGATGCTTCTGCATGGCATAATATGGACAAGCAGATTGCACAGCCAATGATGAGCTGGAGTAGTTCACAACCTCAGTGGAAGAGGACAGTCTGAATAGCTTTTGCTTCCCGAGAGAGGCAAAACAGTGCAGGGAGTCTCTGATTAACTGCCTCTCCCCACAAAGGGAGTCTTTGAACTGCTGAGCATGAGTCAGGCAGTTCCAGCCCTTCCTTCAGAAACCAGCATCTAGAATGACAGAGATGCAACCACCATTGGCTACCAAAAGCCAGCTGAGCTCTTCACAGGAAACCAGACCAGGGAGACCGGAGAGGACTTTTTGTTGTTATTTCAGCTGACAAATGTTCACAACACTCATCCTCAGACTTATCCTCAGTGTGCCTCTGCCTGGAAAGGTGCCACATGGTATGTTGGGGGGTAAGGAAAAGTTGTGAGTTTTGAAAGGTGGCAAATCTGATTAGTATTGATTATTTAAACCTAACCCTTTTCTTGTCCAGATCCTGTTTTCCTGCTCCCAGTAAACTCCTTCCTTATTATACCATGTATGTAATTCTTTTGCTGGAGTTTGTGATGATGTGCTTTATTGGGTCTTGTTTTTATATTACTTGGTTTTATATTACTTGTCATAAGTAGTATTCATTTTCCCTGAGCATAACAGTGAGTTGTTTTAGGTGGGGGAACCTCAAAAAAAAAAAAGGCAGACTTACTTGAGATGGAAGAAAGCACTCCAAGTAGCAAGCAGCAGAGAGAATGTAGAGGCCAGAGCCTAGGGTAGGAGCTATATCAATATGTGTAAGGATGGCAGAATCTAGCCTTTTGTATTACATAGCACTCATATAGCATTTTTGAGAGGCCCTCACCAAGGTAGATAAGCATTATGGGCTAGTTATAAAGATATTGGGCACCACTGATTTCAATGGGATTTAGTTGCTTTCAAAAATCTGGGCCTAAAATCTGAAGTTAGACACACAGAAATATTCAGTGCCCAACTGTGGCATTCCTTCAAAATGCACATTTTGTAATAAATGTTAGGTAACTTTATCCAAATGTGGTTATTTTTAGTTTATCTAAAAACAAGAGCCATCTTTGCATTCCTAGAAATTTCTATAGAAACACTGCATCATTACTTTAACTAGTTGTAAAAGAAAGACACTATGGTACCAGAACAGCAATAAAACACAAATAAAAAGAGTGGTTAATTTTGCACTGTAGCTACTTAGGAGCAGGATAAATGTTCCTAATTATTTGCTGTAAGGAAAAAAACCATATGACATTGTGTTGGAGGCCTGTGATTTTTATTTGCTGAGAGTACAAATTCTACCCAAGTGGGAAACACACTAATTCAAGATGATGAGCTATACCTCTTGGCTGTCTCTCTTTCTACAATACAAAGCAAGCTGACTAGTATGCACAGCTGATTTAATTTTAATAAAAGATTAAAAACTAAATTCTAACTAACCTATTGCAGTGTAAACTTATTAACACACCTCTGCTTAGTATCTACTATGTTTCTACTTATTGCCATATCTTCACACTACTCTCATTCCCTGGATGTTTTGCTGTCAACTAGTTTTTTGGTGTGTCCTGGGACTGGTTTTTTGGGGCAGGTTGGTTTTGTTTTGTTTTTACCTTTGCTTCAATCTGCTTTGTATCTGGATTTTGGAACAAAAATTTGATTTTGCTCTTGCCATCATCCGAAGACCCTTTAAGCTGGGAAAACTTGTACCTCCAAAGCACAGCCTAAAAGAGACAAAACATACAAAGGTCAAGACTATGAGTATAGAAAGTATATTAGAAAAATAGGATACTCTTCCTAGATTGTTTTTGACTTGCCTATGATAACCAATTACCCCAATATAGTGCTGTTTTGCCTGGAGTCCCTTTGATCATATGGACATATTATACTTTGGCAGTGTCTGACTGAGATCAGTCATACTGAATTTTTAAAATGTCCGTTGAAACCCCATTTAACTTTATTCAACCCTGGTTAACAAAGAAAAGGCCACTTAATTCTTTGTTATGTAAAAAAAATAAAAATAAAAGCATCTTCTCTTGAGGATAAGCCAAGACTCCATCTCTTACATGCCATCGTAATTCCATGCCAATGGAATTACTTGATTTTATTCTTTATTCATTTACTTAATTATTTATTTCCACAGAAGAATGTATATAGTCATGTATGTTAGTCTGTGTTCATATGAACTAAAAAAAATAAAATATGTATTTGTCAAAAGTAAAAATAAATAAAACAAAGATAAAAACAACACTGTACAGTTAGCTCTTACTTATGGAAAGCGGTTGAACATGAAAGCACTTAAACATTTTCTTTAGTTTAAGTATGTGAGTAGTTAAGAGTGAACAGATTTAATTGCTTGCTGAATATTAACCAGGTGTTAAAGGTCACTGCTGTACGGAGACCAGAATGTTCAGCCCCCTATGGGATTGAGCCATTAATGTGTTAAGCAGATACAAATATTAAAAAATGAAAATGTATGACAAAGTATCCTACTATACTATGAATTTTATAATAAGAGTATAACTAAATAAAAAACAGCCAATTTTCAATGTTATAAATGGATAAAAATGTACTTTCTAGGTAGGATATACCGTTATCAATACATACTAGGGAATCTATTTTATACAGTATATTTCTTTCAAGACGAGAAAAAGAAAGAAAATTATTGCTCTATAGAATTTCTTCTTGTTCTGTCTAAATATGGAAAGCTCTCCTCATGGCTGTGTGGGTGTATTTATTTGACCACTAAAGAAGTACAATTTAGCATGAAGGAAAATAGAAAACAACAACAACAACCACCCACAAGAATATTAAACACCTGTATTAATGGCCAGAATCAACCAATTTTTTAAACAGAATTTCTGTATAATCCTTGGAGGACGGGAGGGGGGCAATAATTCCACTCACTTTTAATTTCATGAAAATATACACATAAGAATATAAGAATGGCCGTACTGGGTCAGTCCAAAGGTCCATCTAGCCCAGTATCCTGTCTGCCGACAGTGGCCAATACCAGGTGCCCCAGAGAGGGTGGACCAAAGACAATGATCAAGCAATTTGTCCCCTGCCATTCCTCTCCAGCCTCTCTCAGAGGCCAAGGACACCATTTTATCCCCCGGCTAATAGCATTTTATGAACCTAACCTCCATGAAGTTATCTAGCTTCTCTTTAAACTCTATTATAGTCCTAGCCTTCACAGCCTCCTCTGGCAAGGAGATCCACAGATTGACTACACGCTGTGTGAAGAAGAACTTTCTTTTATTAGTTTTAAACCTACTACCCATTAATTTCATTTTTGTGTCCTCTAGTTCTTCTATTTAGGGAACTAATAAATAACTTCTCTTTATCGGCCCTCTCCACATCACTCATGATTTTATATACCTCTATCATATCCCCCCTCAGTCTCCTCTTTTCTAAACTGAAAAGTCCCAGTCTCTCTCCTCATATGGGACCCGTTCCAAACCCCTAATCATTTTAGTTGCCCTTTTCTGAACCCTTTCCAAGACCAAAATATCTTTTTTCAGGTGAGGAGACCACATCTGTACACAGTATTCCAGATGTGGGCGTACCGTAGTTTTATACAGGGGCAGTAAGATATTCTGGGTCTTATTTTCTATCCCTTTCTTAATAATTCCTAGCATCCTATTTGCCTTTTTGACCGGCGCTGCACACTGCGTGGAAGTTTTCAGAGAACTGTCCACGATAACTCCAAGATCTCTTTCCTGATTTGTCGTAGGCAAATTAGCCCCCATCATACTATACGTATAGTTGGGGTTATTTTTCCCGATGTGCATTACTTTACACTTATCCACATTAAATTTCATTTGCCATTTTGTTGCCCAA